ATTTAAATTGTATTTTTGGTTTTTTTTTGAAAAAAAAAAACTGTTTGCAAAGTAGTAAACATGACTTTTGAAAACTTTAGGTATGAAAACGCATTGAAAGTGTATGCCACGACAAAGTAGTTGAAACTCCGAATTCACCAAGTGTGAAGTTGCTCTGGGGCTAATTAACGAACTCGGCGTATCGCTTGGGCCAATGTACACGCCTCCCAGCACGTGTAGAGGTTACTGGATCAGTGTTACTAGACGTGGCTCTTTTAGAAGGTTCAGGATACGCGCGACTAAACGAGTCTGTTAGGGAGTCCGGCGGCAAGGGTCTGGGTGTGCCTGTGGAGGTGTCGCACAATATTGACACTTCACTGTTCAGGAGCGGTAACGCTGTATCTTCAGAGAGGATGAGTGTTGAAGTTTTCCAATCTCCTCGTCTGAATCCTGAAGTTCGGCAATCTTCCGTAAGTCGACTGCTCGAGGCAAAGTAGTGGTGCAAACGCGAGACAGTGCGTCCGCGACAGGGTTATTCACACCAGAAATATGACGGATGTCCGACGTGAATTGCGAAATATAATCTAGGTGACGTAATTCACGCGGTGAATACCTGTCAGTAGTGGTGTGTAAGGCATACGTCAGAGGTTTATGGTCGGTAAAGATGATGAAGTCACGACCTTCCACAAAATGACGAAAATGTTTCACTGAGGCATATATGGCGAGCAGTTCCCTGCCGAAAGTGCTGTACCGCATTTCGCAGGTGGATAACTTCCGGAGAAGAATGCAACTGGGATCCAAGTGTGATCCGAAAGTTGTTGCAACACAGCTCCAATGGCCGTGTTAGAGGCGTCAACCGCAATGCTGAGAGGTAGGTTTACGTCTTGATGCACCAGCATCGTGGCGTCTGCTATTGCGGTTTTGATCTTGCGAAATGCTTCTAGTGCCTCCGGAGTCAAGCTGAAAGTTTTACATTTACTTTTCAGCAGGTCGGTCAGTGCAGTCAAAATGTGTGCACATTGGGGAACGAAGCGACGATAATAGCTCACCATACCCAGAAACACACGCAGAGCTTTAAGTGACGCTGGGACTGGGAAGTCTTGGATCGCCTGTACCTTTTCAGGTAGTGGGCGAATGCCTTGCTCGTCGATAACGTGTCCCAAAAATTTTAGTGAACGAACGCCAATTTGGCATTTGGCCAGGTTGACTGTCATCGAATGCTCTGACAGTCTGGCGAAAACCTGTTTCAAGTGGTTAAAATGGTGTCTTCGTCAGGACTAGCGATTAGTATATCGTCTAGGTAGGCATAGGCGAAATCGAGTCCACGTAAAACATCGTGAATAAAACGTTGGAAGGTTTGTGCTGCATTGCGAAGACCAAAAGGCATACGGAGGAACTCAAAAAGACCAAACGGTGTAATGACGGCTGTCTTGGGAACATCATCAGGATGAACCGGGATCTGATGATATGCACGCGTCAAGTCAAGCTTACTGAAGATAACCGAGCCTTTTAAAGATGCAGTCAAGTCGTGAATGTGAGGGACTGGGTAACGATCTGGAATCGTTTTAGCGTTGAGCCTTCGGTAGTCACCACAAGGCCTCCAGTCCATGCCATTGTTCTTGGGTACCACATGCAAGGGTGAAGACCATGGACTGTTGGATGGTCTGATTATTCCCATTTCAAGCATGTGTTCGAACTCGGCTTTTACAGCACGCAGTTTCTCCGGGGATAATCGCCTGGTTTCGCAAACACTGGCGGGCCAGTCGTCGTTATGTGATGAGAAACGTTCGAAGTCACACAAGGGACACAACGACTTGGCTTAAAGACATCCGGAAAGGACTGAATGATAGACGCGTAGGGACTAGAAGCGTCCGTCGTGCAGTACACGGGACTGAGGGGCGGCGTCTTTGTGACTATACCGGAAACAGAGAGTGTTGTGGTAGAATCTATCAACTTATGCTTGCCAGCATCTACCAGCAGCTGATAGTGCTGCAAGAGATCCATACCAATAATGCCGGTGGTCACATCTGCCACTATGAAAACCCAACGAAAGGGACGACGCAATCCAAGGTTGAGATCGAGGAATCTCCGACCATAGGTTGTGATGGGCGAACCGTTGGCGGCACGAAGTTGCAGAGACATTGGCCGCAGACGCTCTTCCTTCGTAGGTGGGATGACGCTAGCTTCTGCCCCAGTGTCAACTAGGAAGCGTATCCCAGAATGTCGATCAGTGACGAAGAAGAGGCGACATGGAAGTGGCTCGCCAGCGACGTTAGTCGCCGTCACGTGCTGGCTCACACGTTTCCCGCCTGGTTAGCCTCGAAGGTGCAAGGTCGAGTGCACTTTTGGCATTGGCACCATAACGTTTATGGTACCAGCACAACCTGGGTTGGGATTGTCGCGATTTGGAACGTCTGCTACCGGTACGGGAGGCAGACCTGTTGCGCGAGCGAGACGTGCGACCGTTGGAAGAACTACCAGACCGCATTTCGTTCCTGATGCTGCACAACTCTCATACAATTTTGAGATGTGAGTTATAACATCGAAACTTGTTGGCTCAACAGCCGAGGGAGGATGTTTTTGGACGAATCCGTGGCAGTAGACAGTGCAGCTGAGATACTAGTGTTGGGTTTCGTAGCATCCACAGCTCTGTCAGCCGCTTCCGCCAACTCTATTAAGGGACACTTATGGAAGGGTGCGAGGATCCCTTGAACCGACTGTGGTAACCTCTGTAACCACAGTTGCTTGAGAAATGCTTCATCAATGTTGAAGTCAGCAATCAGCTGCTTCATCTGACGAAGCAGTTGCGTCGGCTTGCGATCACCCAGATGCACATCCCTGAAAAGTTCTTGCACTTTCTGCTGGTCAGTAAGTGCAACACGTTTGATGAGGGCGGTTTTGAGGCGATCGTAAAGATTCGGTGCTGGGTCATCTAGCACATCTGACACGTCTTCAATCACATTTTCCGGTAAGCTGACGATGACTAAGTTGGACTTAGTTTCTTGTGATTGAATGTGTCTCAAGGCAAACTGAGCTTCCACATGGGAGAACCATGCAGATGGTCTGTGGGCCCAGAAGGTGGGAAGCTGGAGGGTTACGGCCATCTGCGCAGTCGAGTCGTTATCCGCCATTGATCAGGGAATTAACGAGGCACGATAGTGATAATAAAAAAATTACAATGCAAAAATAACCAATGAGGAGTGCAATAATAAAAAAAAACGCTAGACCGTGCCAAAAACAAAATTAAGCCAGACAAATCAACGCAAGAGAACAAAGGTACTAGACAAAGTAAGAAGTGATACTCGGGCTCACCAATTTTTGTAGGGATGCGTGTTACAATTCCGTAACGTTTGATCAACCCTACTCAATTTGATGTGCTCTAGTACCTGCTTAACCAGTACTTTACCTAACGTGTAAGTACTGATAACAAAACACAAATCAAAAGAACTGATACGCAATGTATTTAAAGGAGCTATGTATTTAAGGTAAATGTAGTAATAATGAATGAGGGAAAAGTTTAATCAACTTATCTGGCTTGTAAGGCTGAACTAGGGACTCGGAGTACGTGCGTGGTGATCAGCACAATGGAGCGCAAAAATGGCGTCCAAGCCTGCTCGGATGCATGCTCGTTAAAACAAAACTTAAAACACCCTAAGCATCCGGAGGCAAGCTAGAGATTTATTTAGTTAATTTAATTTAAACTATTTATTTTAGCCCTAGTTATATTTTGGTGCCAGGACGGTGCACTACACTGTCTTCAAGGAATCAGGCCTGAGGCTTTTGTTCGAGAAGTAACCCTCAAATATACAACCAATGGTATATCTCACTTCTGATCTGAGGGCCTTCCCATCTTACAGGCCCCCAAATGTAAACATCTCTTCCATTTATTCACCGGGTCTGAGCAAAATTTGTGCTGTGAGTCTAACCAAAGACAGAAGCAGGATACTTTTCTTCTGAATGAAGGGCAGTCAGACCTTACTTTCGAAAAACTTGTTGAGGAACACTGCCACAAGTCTTGAGCTTTCAACAAGCGGCCCTCGGTTTTCTTTCATTCGACTAGAACCTTCCCTCAGGATGAGATTAGCAAGCTGATGTCACGTCCAAAAAGCCTTTCGTCCCATGAAAACCCCAGTCTTCATCAGTTCGCGCAACTACTTCTGCTAGGTTCAGTGCACTTCATCGAGAGGAGACCTGTGCATGCTACAGTGGTTTCAGCCATCATGGCCCTCACATCAAATAGGAGCCCGGTCATAGTAAAAACGGTTCATGCAGCTGCATACAGCCTTTCTCTTAACAAATACATGGAGTGATACGACAAGTTAAAACAGTATGTATTTTAGAACCTTACAGAAATCAAGCGCAGGATCTTGGACACCTGAAATTTTAAAACACTGAAGCGCTCAAAAAATCATAAAAGCTTTCCAGCCGTATGAAAATTTTTCTACTGTCGCTCAGCAAGAGTCATCACACTTGAAATGACGAACAACACTCCTTATCAAAAGCAATAAGTATCGTTCAGAGTCTTTTTCTATAACTGACTGGAATGAAATTTACCGAAACTGCAGTAAAACAAAGCCCGTGCATTTCTGAAGACTGGGGAAAGCCAGGGATATAACGTTCTGTGGAATACAGGTAAAGGGTGCCTCATTGATTGCATAAGTTATTTTACCAACTGTGGTTACAAAGCATCCAAAACTTTAGACATATAGCTTCCGAATTCAGGACAGCCGTGAGGGTATAAGCTAACCTGACTTTATGGAATAATTTCCACAAAATAGATGATGTGAAATGTCGTTGGGAAAACGCTTAGTATCCATGTGCATCTAGAGAAATATCCACCAGCTATAGCATTTGGAGTCAAATTTCTATGTTAGAAATTAGGAGGAGGTCGATTGTTGTGAATTACTTCATAATTCTGTCTACTTATTGAATGACGAACAGCATGCATTTAAGCCACTAAACACATTTTTCTAGGTCTTTTACGACCTTTGGTTTTCTGTGTTACTTTTGGTTAGTGAAACATGTATGCGCTTCATGTTAATGTGAAGAAAGCTAACAACCTAAAAAATGTGGAAATATCTGGGAAGAGTGACCCATACGTCATTGTTGACTTTCAAGGTAATTTTTAACACTCGAAACAATTGTTTTGTGCTAGTGAACAACCAGTGAATATAAAATGACTAATGTTACTATTAACCCTTTGCTTAATAAAATGACTATGCGCATCTGTCTACATAAATTTGTATCATTTTTTTTAATAGGTCTGACTACAGTTTGTTTAGCTTCTTCTTGATAATGGATAGTAAACGCGTTTATCATATGCGATACCACACATCTTTAACCTTAAAATTACTGCCAGAATTATTTTTTTCAGAAAAGATTCACGTTCAGCACTGATAATAGAAGATGGAAGTCTTTAACTGCACTGATACGCATCATATGTGTTATAATTTGGCATATGCGTGTAATTAAAACCACAGTAAATGCGGCTTAGAAAATTGTCACACCCCGCTTAATGCTTGAAGTCGTCTCTCAATATTAGGGGCCAGGCTGGAGAGCAGTATTCTCTGCACAAAAGAGTATTGGAAGAATAAAACTTTTCGGACATTTTATTTGGTGTGGTAAGAACTCAGAATGAAGGTTACTTAGGAGTCGCTTTGAAGTGAAATAGCTTCCTATTATCTAGTCACAGTTATTAATTTCAGTGTTTGTCACCTGTAAAAAAGTGTGTTGTTGTTCGAAATTCGTCAACATCCTGTCGCTTTACGAAACTTACGGCAAACGAACCCTTGCTGCATACATACGGTGATGTTTTGTGAGTACCACAGAGTGATTCATTTCTGAAATTAACTTCTGTTAACAAACAAGTAATTGAATGCATCTTATCTTTTTTTCAGTTGTTTGCAACTATGCATGTTATGCCGTATGAAGGCGGTTTGTGGCTAAATGCTGCATGCAAAACATCTGTAGAGTCTGACTGCTAAGCTAACACTTCGCAGTTAATAACATTCTACAATTCCTGCGGACATAAAACTAATGTATGTTAAGTTTAGCCATTCAGTCATGCCTTGCAAAAATGTTTCAGCTACCTTTTTGGTGAACTTAAGGTAAGAATACCGGTCAGTTGTAATGTTGGTATTGCATTATCTTGCCTAATTTCTGCAAAAAAGTGGCGATCACACCTCTGGTTGTAATTAAACTAATAATTTGCTACGTATGAGGTAAATTGCTAACTTACTCCTGAATTTCTATCACTAGCCAAAGGTGAACTATGAAAGAGAGTTAAAAATCATGTTTTGATGTTTGATTTTGAGGCTATTGTGTGAGATTAAAATTTTTATGAGCTTTAGTTAGACTGCACTTTCGAAATACTTATGGTGATATCTGAAAGCTTAGGTTTGAAAGAATAATAAATATGAAGGTAATTCACTTTCGGATCATTTATCATGTGACTGAACCTTGTATTGGAATTAAAAACCAGAAGTGTTTACACTGAAGAAAACAATGAGTGTACGTTATCTAAAGTGTGATCTTAGAAGCCGTACCTAGTATTTAGTTCAGTCTATTGTATCTACAAATGGGTAAATTTTAGAGACTATACAGACTCGTCAATGGCCTGAAAGGTTTCTGCATAACTAAGTGTTTCAGTTCAACTCATTTTAGGGTCCACAGTATTGACGTATTTTTCCATCTTGTCTGCATCTAAAAATAGACCAGTCAATTCAGCCACCCACTTTTAATGTCTGTTAGAAATGTGATAATTTTTCTCATGCAATTAAAGTGATAATAAAATTACACTGTCACCTATATTACGTATTTGTTGTCTATTAGAATTAGGAGTAATCTCCTGAGATATTAAGAATTTTGTCAAAAAGGGTATTTTTGAACGATGCCAGCAATTGTGGTCAACTATCAAGAACTTCGGCAGCTTAGCGGCATGTGAATTAAAAATCTTGTGCTTTTTGGGTTACTTCCTGAATGAAGAGATTTCCGTCTTTCCTGTGCTTGGTAAAAAATCAAATTCAAACCTTATCTCTGTTGACTTCAAAATTTATTCACTTAAGTATGACCAGCCTCTTTTAAACTTGTCCATATAACTTTCTTGGCTCGTAAACTTCTAGTTTTTAAAGACATCTCTTTGTTCACCACAGATCCACGGGTTGCAGTTTGGTTAATAGTGCTGTAGGAAAATTGTTTCGGGCATTAGAAAATACATTAACACAACAAACGCTATCAGTGCATTTCTGTTCCACAAGATACTGAAGAAATAAGTACTTATGGGATGGTGAAAACTTAACTAAATCAAACCCTTAAATTATTATTCCTATATATTAGGAGAAGTTCAAAAAAATAGTCATTGATCCTTTGCACAGAAACCATCTTATTTCTTCCAGAGAGTGTTGGATAAGCAAGTGAATAGTACCACCATTTCAAATGTATACGTCATATACTGCTAACATATGATAATACGTGAGATTAGTCATTCATGCAGTCAGTGCAGAAAGGCATCCACTAAACTTTAACTGAGTAAAAGTTACAAAATAACCAAAGCACTTTCACCAGTACCATCTTAGATGTTAATCCACTTTCCTACCAGAATTCTAGTAGCTTATGAAAGGTTAATCCCACAGGCTGTCTTGGGTTAATGAAGCACTATTTAACACCCTCACGGTCTAGTTTAGTTCTTTACAATCCTTAGAGAGCTACTGAAATTTCGTTCACGAAATGAGTTTCTTATAGAGTAACTGTTCAATTGTTTCATTTTACTAGCTTTCGATAACCAAGCGTTGCTTCAGGTTTTTGCTTGGACCGTTTTCACTTGAAATAAACCTCGGCATATACTAAATTTCAGATCTCTTCTCATTTTTTTAGCTTTGTCACATATTATAGATATCTCTGAACTTACTTCTAACAGGAAAATGCTATAAAGATGTGATACTTAGACAAATTGTATGTTATGTTGTTGTTTGATTGCCTACTGCACGTATACACACAGGATTGCAGAGTACATTTCACTGCCGCCTATCAAGATTTGTGGGATCCGTCAATAACATGTAATATGTGTAGCTTAACGAAATCAAAATGAATCTTCACGGGTTTACTGTGAAGCATTTATCCGCTTATTGAAAATATCTTAAAGTTGAAGCCGTTTTTACAGATCTATCCATCTCTATTAATCTTGATTGAAACAGGATTCTAATTTTGCTAATCACTTGGTTTAAAAATTTCCTACTTTAATTATCTTTTTATCTACCGTTTAAATACTTAACAGTCGACCTCTCCTCTTCTAAAATCAGTCCACATTTCTATCAGATTTTACATTAACTTTAAGGAAGTTATTTGATTTTTTAAGCACTAACTTTGAGATATAAATCACGAATAGTGGTTAGGAAGCGAATCCAGGTGGCTGGTTTCGTCCATCCGGGACTCGTCAGCTGGATATAGCTGCCTTCTAGTGAGTGGTGTTGTTCCCACTAGGAATTAGACCCAAAACCAATCACTTCAAACGCCTAAGTGTTATCCACTGGATCGTTGAGTCTCAAAAACCACTTCTTGTATGACGATTAAAGTACAGTTTTGATGTTATAGTTTGTAAGTCTTAGTCTTATTTGAAAGACGCTTACTGTAAAACTCTTTTGAATAACTGAACTAATATAGAACTGAACATTGACGTTAGTTGCCACGTCCACCATTGAAAAGGTACCAATATCTGCACACCGAACAACTCAAAATTTGAAAGAAATTCAAAAGATGACTTGATGGCAGTCGGATAATAAAATAGTGGAGTAAAACAAAAAAAAAGAAACCATAGACTGACCAATTCTATATGGAGGTTTATCAATTGATTTTAGACTGGAATTTACCATGGACTTACATCAGTTGGAGGAACATTAGAAACCTAGAAGTACCGGGCAGCCTTTTCGTCCCAGCATGGGACTCCTCAGCAGTGCTCTAAATGCTCTAAAGCCTGTTTTCAAGTCAGTCCTCTCACCTGCTTCTATCATGTGTCGACCTACAGAAGATGACATCTGTCTCCCAACTGTATTCATCGAAACCATTTGAATGTAACATTGTACAGTCATTTAGTGATATATTCCACCACACCACAACTTCATAGCTCAATCACTCCTCCCAATCCATGTGTCACCACACACACATATATGAGTTGGCTTACACAGCAAGATGTGATATAATCAACCACGTAGTGATAAAGTTTGTCTTGAAGAACACGTTTCGTCTCCTCTACAGTGCTCAATCTGACTGCATAGTATGTCTCTCTAACAGCTCAGTTTATCCATCATCTCAGCATCTTCCTCTTCGATTCCTTCCCATAATTGTAGCCTCATGTAAAACTAAGTGGTTCTTGACGTTGACACGTTTTCATAACGATTGATCAACTTCAGTGGATATGCATTACTCAATTGTGTCTCTGTGAAGCATTCGATTTCTTCCTCCAATGCTCCTGCTATGCAGATATGTTGAATCCTTTCGAATAAGTATTCTACTAAACCTCATTGGCACCGTAGTCGACAGAAACTCTGAAGGGTTTAGGTAATGTCCAGTCAACGTGGGCCTGTTATACACTGATCCTTTCATCAATCCATCTTCTCTTCCAGTTAACAACATGTGAAGCAAAGGAATCTTATCGTTGTTTTCTACTTCACACGATCAACTGATGTGACACTGTATGGTGTTAAGTCGATGTAGAAGTCTTTTCACATCCTCATCATTGTTGCAACATGTCAGTAAGATATCATCAATATATCTCCTCTATAGAGGGACTTTGTTGATAGAATAATCGGTCAAAAGTTTTACATGTGACATATAGACTGTAGGTAATGACGGTCATAGGGGATTATCCAGGGTGACACCCAACCAACTTGTGGAAATGAATTACGTTTGAGAGTGAAGTGAACGTCAACAGAGCATAATCGTAATAACTGTTTGAGGGATAAGAATGTCAACAGTATTGGTTGAATAGACAATGGTGAGTGAAGAGTTTACATCAGGAGAATACATTGTCTAATGTTCAGAAGTATATTTTAATGCAAACTTGTGTAATTGATTTCCAAATGTACTTATCATTTGGTTTAGCCATTTTGTAAAGTAGTGTGTTG